AGGCGCCAGACGAGCTTGGTGGGGTGGGGATGGGTTACGGTTTGGATATCGTGGAAGCTATAGTAGGCCGCATACTGTAAAACAGTGGCATCACCACCACCATCACCGCCCATACCGCCACTAGATGAACATCAAAAACCCGGTCCCAGAAGCTTCAATATCCTTCCACTTGCATCCTAGCTACGTCTGACCCGGATGAAGGGCTCCTCCACTCTGGGCCGCCATGATTTGTGGGTTGTCGTTGACTGCGCTGGGCTATCCTGCACTGATCGTCACTACAGTACATATATCGCAGTTCAACTCCAAAGTGTACATTACTCCTATCGAGTGGTAGTAGATCTCCTCGCTGAAGACGAATTCTACCTATGTATTCTCCATGGAAAGTCAAATCGGTAGGCATCATGGTCAGATGAATATTGGGGAGTACCGAAACACTATGATGTTGTTGACCCGAGCGAGTTAGCATCATATCATATACACATGGGAATACAAATTGGTACATACATTATAAAGTTGGCCTTGGACTACTGGAAGTCATCAGGGAAGCATTGCAAGAGGCATTTCAACCACACAGATAGAGTAATTGAAGAAATAACTCCACTCACCGAGCACGAATGACTGATTCAGTTCCACGGCGTGAAACCAAGTGATATACGATGACTGTAAGGTAATCCTCCGCGACTGCCATAGTTTGTTGAGCCAATAGCCTCTCTTGTGCACTCTGTTTTCTCATTCTTTTTCCCATTCTTTTTCTTCTTCTTTTTCCCATTCTTTTTCTTCTTCTTTTTCTCAATCTTTTTCTTATTCTTTTTATGTTTTTTTTGTCTCGGTGTACGCTTTGTTGTGGTGTGTGATGGCACAGTTTTACCGCGTGTGCCGCAGGTGTCTCGACATGTGAAACCCTAACCCACTCCCACCCCACCAAACTCGTCTAGCGCCTATCCTCTCCCAATTTTCGCTGACTTTTTCGCTCGTTTCCGCTCTTTTTTTTCTTGGTGAGCGCTCTATTGTAGTGTAGGCGGGGGGGAGGGCAGTGCTGTGTCGCAAAACGGTCGCTTGCACGAACGCGTGTTGCAAAAAGGCAAATGTTAAATGTTAAATGCGCAATGCACAACAGGTGACTATTTGCTCACTTTCGACCGTACTCGGTGACCTTGTGGATAGAAGACGTTGGGGAAAATAAGAAAGGTAAGATGCTATGAAGCGTGCATGATATTAGTAGGCTTCACAAAGACTAATGGAAAGATAGGCAGACTCTTCACACTTTGCAACCAATCGACATCCCGCAACGCAGATCCGTACCTTCAACCACAACCCAGAACCCGCAATCCTCATCCACCTCTGACTCTCGTCTCTTCCTCTTTTTTTTCTTCTTCTTCTCACGAAAGTATCGAATCGGGGTTTTTCTGCGGCCGCAACACACATAGAACAGCTCAATCGAACGCATGTGTGTTTTTTCCGACTCACAGTCACTTACACCTCTTCATTTCTCTAATCTCCCTGAAGGCCTGACCATGGTTCAAGATTGGAACTGGAAGGTCGGCAAGGTCACCGAATCGGACCCTGCTCTACATGCCATGCGTCCAGAGGATGCTCACACAGATGGCAATACGCCGAGGTCGAAGTAGTAGGCATAATATTGGCAAGTCACCGAATGCGAACAGTCTACCCGGCACATATACAACGTGAAACCAATTGCAATTGGATCGCACACAGTTACGCCAGTTCCCCCATACCGCAAACCCCTCAGAAAACAAAGAAGTCAAGCGGTCAGGAAAACGTCAGCGAACCACCCCCCGAACCTCCCCCCGTTGTCCCTGATCGTGTGCTTCAGCCGTGAGGCCTACTTCGTCACTCCCTCATTGCCTTTGTCGCCCTCGTCACCCTCGTCGCCCTGGGTAGTCACCATTTTCAGCAGGGTCCTAGCAGTTGGTTCTGGGTGGGGGGTGGGGGGTGGCGACTTACGCAAGGCAGGCAGCCTCCGCAGCTGCCGCCCTCGCCGCAGGAGCACCTCTTGGGGCCGCCGCATCCGCACATGCAGACACGGTCAACGAGCTCGATGGGTCCAGAGATCATCTTGTTTGTTGGTATTGTTGTTGTTAGGGACGTAGAAATCATTCGTTGGTTGGGTGCGTGGTATGAAGGTATCGAAATAGAGAACTTGTTGATTTGGATTCGATTGATTTGTTGTATGATGGTTTGAAGGTAGGCGACGTGAAGAAGGAAGGGTTGGGAATGCGGAGGTGGAGGGAATATTTAACCTATTTCGAGCGGCGAAAAATGAACGTAGAATGGTAGATCGGCGGCTGATTACCGAATGGAACACAAAGCCTACTAGCTTTTTTTTTGTTTCATCATTCACTGCGTGCGGCCTTATCTAGATCATGGCAATATGCACACGCCATTTCCTTGTACATTGCCCAACCCGACATCGAACAGTCCACAGTGGCTCGTGATGGCTGCCTTTCTTACCCCCGTGCCAAAAACTGTCAGATGTAGACGTCCGATCGCTCGTGGAGTTCTGGCGCCGGAGGTGGCGCCGGAGCTTGTCCGAGTCATATCTGGTGCCGGACGACTGGCGACCGGATCTTAGGCGTCTGGTGCCCTGGGCGTGATGGGGTTTACGAGCAACCCGCCGACAGGACGAGCCTGGAGGCCATCTAGATAGCACATGTATATGGAGGACCCACTGCCGCTGCGGAAGACAGACGATAATCAAGATCTAATACTCCTATATTTGACGAAAACAAAAGCCATCACCACCCCTGGTGGGTGGCTTGGAAACCCAAGAGCTCAAAGGACTTGAACCCGATTTGAGCCTGGAGCTTTGCCTCAGCTCCTCTCGCCAGTTACGTGGCCTAGGTAGTAGACTAATACCACTATGTTACGCGGGGGTTGTTTCCTTGTTGGGCGGAGAGCAATACTAGGGAACCAGTATCGAGCTCGTGGTCAGTGGTCGGTGCCAACAGCCATGTTGAAGCAGATTTTTAATCTACCAAATTCGAATGCGATGATAGTCAAACTAAAAAACAACGCCACCAGCACAAGCTGTGTATCACGTGGTAGTTTCTGCCGAGTGATATCGCATGCTCTACCCGTCTTGCCAAAACCCAAAAACCAAAACTATCACCCCGGTGGGGGGCTTGAAAACCCTAAGAGTTGACAGGGCTTTCACCCGGGTTTAAACCGGAGAAATTCCCTCAACTCCCCTCGCCGATTGCATAGCCTAGACCACTGGACCACGCGGGGTTATTTCCGTGCTGGATATATGAATTTGAACCTCGTAAAGTGGTGCATGCCAACCCGCGATGGATAATAACAACACAACGACGAAGCGACGTCCGTCAAATAAAATCTCCATCGCCTTGCCACCGCTGCACCACATTTATCATAGTAGGCGGACTGTACGGCGTAAGTTTCTAAGTCTCCGGTGCTCCGCCTAGGCATCCGGAATACAAAGGAAAAAACAAAACTTCGAACAAAAGCTCGAACAAATTCCCCTTCCTCTCTCAGTATTTCGTCTCGCCTGGAGAGGCCATGGGTGGTGGCGTCGGTAGAGCAGAAGCCTTGGCCCCCCCTCCGCCACCATATCCCCTTCAATGTCCAGGCTGATAGCGTCTTGCGCTCTCCTCTCCTCTAGCTGTTCGGGTTCCCTCTGTGCCCGCTCGCATTCTGAGGACTCGATGGCCACTGACCCTTCCTGAACCGGGAGAGCTAGTCTCCCTACATGTGTTGTTTCTAAGAACTTTAGGATTGCGTCGCTGCAGCTCTTGCCAGCAAATAGATGGTGAATCCTGAAGCGATGGGGCCAGGTGCTTACCAACGACGTCGATCATGTAAACCTCGAGTGAGATGGAGTGAAGAAGTCTGCAAAGTTCTTCCACGAGCAAATTGGACATTCTCTCTCCTCTAAAACCCCTCAGTTATTTCCGTCATGGAGTATCGGCCAGCTTTATCATGGCTGGAATGTCAGCCACTTCATCTGGTGTCTCATATTACCCGTGCTTGAAATTTTGTGGTTCGACTCACCCGCGCAAATATAACCATCACTCTGTTACCTACTTCACCACCAACGCGCCCAAACCAAAACGTAAATGTCAAAAGTTGGGTTTGAACCGTAGCAAAAGAGCGTACTCCCCAAGGTTACTACACTTGTTACGGTGCGGACCTTGAATACCGGGAGCCGGTACCCTCACCACTTGGCAGTGTTCGACATAGACCAGACCGGTTGGCCGACCGGTTTGGTCGGTCGGGATAAAATTAAGCAGACCCGACCTGGGCTTTAGTACATCGAGATATATCCTGACCGACCTGACCTTACCAGGCTCGATCGGCCTAGGTCGGCCGACGTCCGGTTAACTGTTAATCCTATCAGCCGCAATGTTTTCCTTAGTTTCTGGCGCTCGTTATAGCATTTACGACGTCAAATGTTGTTTCTTAGCCTGACCTATCCCGACCAGACCAGACCATGACCAAATTTGGTCGGGACTGGTCTATGTATAACACTGCCCCCGGGGATACTCACAGCCAACGGCGATCTCAAGCTTGCATCAGAGCTGTATATTTATCACCTGAAACGTCAGTACGATATTCGAGCAAAGCCATATCCGCACGACTAACCTTAGGATAGTCTCATCATCTACAGTGTGCTGACACGCAACCATCTGATTAATTTAAGCAGGGTACCAGGCGGCCTTGCTATGAAACTCCTATAGCTAGGTAGGCCGTATTCGTGCTCGATTCGTTCCGTATGAGCATCCGTTGTGTTTCGATGCAGTGCCATCAGAGTCCGATAACTTTGGCAGGCTGAGAGTCCCCACCATGCTACTGCATAATAAAGCTGCAGCTATGAACCGTGAAGGAGGGTAGACCTTGTCGACATGTTAGAATTCTTGAAAATGGCCACCAGAGCATAGGATACTCACCACACTTCTCCGGCCCCAATCTTGGCTTTTCTCTATATTGTTCTTCAAATAGTTTTAGGCTAAGAAACGTCATCATCAGGCCTTCCGCTGCTTCAGCTTCAGGTTTGTTCTTGCCGACGGTTGCGGCGATGTACGTTCCGTGAAGGAGGGTAGACCTTATCGACATGTTAGTTTTCTTCACGAACGGGAAACCAAGCAGGGGGTGTTTACCACACTTCGACGGTCCCAATCGTGGCCTTTCCCCATGCGAATCCTCAAGTAGATTTAGGCTAACAAGCGGTATCATCAGAGACCTTCCGCTGATCGAACTCCTGTTTTGTACTTGCGATCGACACCGGCTACTATGATGCTAGATTTCTGCAAAAAGGCAACCTAACCATAGTATACGCACCACACTTCGCGGGTCGCAATCTTGGCCTTTCTCCATATGGTTCTTAAAATAGTTTTAGGCTAAGAATTTAAGAAACGTCATCATCAGTCCTTTAGCTGCTTGAGTTTCAGTTTTGTTCTTGCAGACGTTTGCGGCTATGAAAGTACCGTGAAAGTGAGTAGACCTTATCGACATATTAGTGGTTGCTTCAAGAACAGGCTTTCAAAACAAAAGATATTTACCATACTAGTACGCGGGCCATACTTTCAGGCACCCATCCATTTGGTTCTTCATGTAGGTTGAGGCTCAGAAGCGGCATGATGAGACCTTTAGCAGCTCGAGCTCCAGTTTCGTACTTGCAAGCGATAGCGGCTACTATGTACCGTGAAGGAGGATAGACCTTACCGACGTTTTAGTTTTCTTCAAGAACGGGAAATCTAAGCAGAGGATATTTACCACACTTCACCGGCCATAACTCCTTGCCTGGATCCTCGTGGTTCCCCACCGACTCTGACAGGTTCGGGTTCAGGAGTGCCGACGGAGTGTGGCATCTTTGGAGGGCTGAGTGTTCCCGTCATGCCACGGTATGTGGCTACAGCTATGGGCCGTGAAGGAGGATAGACCTTTCTGAAACGTTAGTACCTTTGGCAATACGGCCATTCAAAAAAGGATACTTACCACACTTCACCAGCCAGAGCTTCTCGCCCATCGCTATGCGATTCGTCACCTAACTGGGAGACAGGCAGGCTAGCCAGCGGAATCACCAATGTTTGGAAGCCGCTTCTCCAGTCATACTACTACTACGCAGGTATCTGCGGCCAAGGCAACGAAGGAGGGTAGACCTTTCCAGATGTTAGTAAGTGTCACGAACAGATACATTCGAAGATGAAGTTTCGACGTACCACACTTCGCCAGCGATGACTCCGCGTTTCTCTCGCAATAGGGATCTTCACCCCTCCCAAATCATCGGCGATTGAGAAGCGCCGGCATCTGACAGCTTTGACAGCATTCCAGTTACCGTAGTTGGCTACAACTATTGACTATGAAGGGGGTACACCTATTCACAGCATCAGTAGTTACCTCACTTCACAAGCCATAGCACTTCACCTTGCTAATTGCCGTGCTTCACGTATCTCGAACAGGTTCCGGCCAACGGTCGCTTCATCCGGCGTCAACGGTAGACTCAGCTCCCATCTCATCGTCGTTGATGACTGCGACTGCGGGCTGCGGAGAAGGGTAGACCTGGCGGGAAGTTAGTAAACCATTCCAGGAGACCGGACATTGATGGGACGCACCAAACTCCACAGCTAACCGCACCTAGACTTGCCCGATGAATCGGTAAAGATTCAAGATAGACGGCGATAAGTTTTAATCGCTTCCCTCGTAACGACTATTGATGGCTGTCAGTCAACGAGCCCGGATTGCCTACCGAATATCCGAACGAAGAAGGGTCAGACAGTTGATTCGAGGCTGGACGGCCGAAACCGGCGCAGCGTGATGGTAAATGCGGATGTGGCGGAACGTACCTTTGAGACTTCATCTTGTTCTATTTTGTTGTTGTGAAGTGAAGTGGAGGGACGGTGAATCGTTGCAGGGGGCGGGGTGAGCGACCCGGAGACTCCCCTGTCGGATGGGCGCTATCCTGAGCTGAGCCGCATCACATTGCGCGGCACGTGTCCGTGACATCACGTTTTCAATTGAAGAAAGAAAAGCCAAATCATCGAGCACGTGTATCGAAAGCCTTTCCGCAAGATGTAGCGTATCCTGCTCATATCTGAATTTCATCATTGTTATTCTACGCTTGAAATAATATATCCGAGAAGTGGGATTGCAGAATATCACACAAACAGCCCCTTCATGTGTGAGACCTAATCTTGTGAGAGCAATGATGAACACGCTGAACTTTGAAGGCCCTTCTATATTTATATAGATAATATACCTGCTATTGAGAGACAGACTCGTCGGCGAGACCAGACAGTAGACCAGACAGCAAGACATACGATATCTCAGTCCCGTCGGACATCCTTACAGTTACTGGTGGAATGATTCCGTCCAACACCCACCTCCGGACGTACTAGACCGGACTAGGTATGTAGAAAACTGGATGTTGTCGACCCGGACCCAGGCAATGCGCCGAGGTCGACACAGAATCATACTGGCCAGTGGCCAGAAAGTCACGCAAGGCGAAAACACAGCGTGCAACGAAATTTTCAATTCCAATTCGATCGCCCACAGTCACACCGTCAGATTCCCCATGCCACCAACCCCTCCAAAGACAAAGAACTCAAGCAGCCAGGAAAACTTTATCGTACCCCCCGAACCTCCCCCCTTGTCCGAGATGGTGTGTTTCAGCCGTTAGGCCTACTTCGTCTCGGCCTCATCGCCCTATTAAAGAAAACCATTTGGTCAGCGAACAAACGTTTTTCCCGACTCCTAGCGGTAGATTGGGGTTTGGGGTTGGGTGTAATGGGGAGCTTACGCAAGGAAGGCAGCCTCCGCAGCCGCAACCATCGCCGCAGCCGCACTTCTGGGGTCCGCCGCAGCCGCACATGCAGACGCGGTCAACGAGTTCGATGGGTCCGGAGAGCATCTTGCCGGTTGGTGTTGTTAGAGACGTAGGATTAATTTGTTGGGAGCGTTGTACGGTTGTATCGAACTCGAGGACTTGTTGTTTTGTGTGAGTGATAGTTTGGTTAGCCGGTGAGGTGAAGAAGGAAAGTTGGGAGTTGGGAGTTGGGGGTATTTTATACCTGTTTTTGAGCGGCGAAAAATGAACAAAGAAATCTAGGTCGCCGACGGATAATAGAAGGACAGTAAAGTGTACTGATGAAACCAATGCGGGTCAAGGCAGATATGGTCGCATCGAGTGATGTCGAAAGCATTCGGAGGCACATACTTGAACACAATTTCCCCGGGTAAACCTGTATCAGTCGGTGGACTTCCGGTTGCTAGATGTCCAGTATCTCTTGCACATTATCATCAGTTGCCGACGCTCGTATACGACCTCTGCACCAGAGAGAGACCCTACATCCAGTCCGTCCAAAGGATGATGCCAGTGTTCTCCATTGCCCGGCATTGGTGAAACAAAGTGCCACTCTTTTCAGCACTTACCGCACCAAGAAATTGAACTTCCTCCAGTAATAGTTGTTAAAGTTTGGGCGTCCGAAAGCGGTCGATAACGGCCGCAGCAACTGGGTGTCCGGAAGCGGTTGATGACAACCACAGCAATGTTGAAAGAGTTGGGCGTCCGGGATGTCTCCCAGACGGTCGCAGCAATTCTGGCAGACAACAGAAATGTTGACCGCCGACTGCAATGTTGGCCGCCGACTGCAATGTAGGCCGCCGACTGCAATGTTGGCCGCCGGCTGCAATGTTGGCGGAAGGCTGCAATGTTTGCAGACGGAAGTAATATTGGCGCAAGGCAGCAATGTTGGCGGAAGGCAGTAATGTTTGCAGACAGCAATAATTTTGGTAGAGAATGTATGGGCGCGCGCCGTCATCTGTATGCTGTACCAAGACCTATGGGAGGGACTTCAGAGTCCAGATTCTGTGTATAGAGGACCTCCAGTCCGGCAAGACTGGAGAACAAGAGAACATTTATCAACCATTACATCTTCTTCTATCTAACACTCTTTTATTACCGTACTTTTATACAAATGTCGCCCTTATTATGTACCATTTTTCGCTGTACTTGTACCAGTGTCGACTGCAGTTTTGTCACAGCAGATCTGAGCGAGTGTGCGAGAGAGATCGAGAAGTTATTGCTTAGATACAGAAGAGAATGAGAATGAACGGGCAACAGAGAGAGTACTATATAAACAGATACAGAGAAAGAAAGAAACTAAATTCCGTCATTTCCATCCTCCGAGGTTGTGGCATGATATCTCCCCTCATGATATCACAGTTAATCATTCATCATTGAGTCGGTCAACGAGTCGCTCATTGAGTCGATCATTGAGTCGATCACTCGCCAATCACTCGCCGGCCTTGATGCTCGAGGATATTAAACAGGATTCCTTCACCGACATGCGGTCCGTTCCGTTGGACCTCACTGGCAGACAAGGTAGGTACTCCATTTCACTCACACTTCCGGACGGACTGGATGTATGTAGTGCAGTCCCTTCCACGAGTCCGAACTATGTAGAACGCTGGATCATGATCATTGATGTCCCCACACGGGCCCGGGCAATACGCAGGGATCGAAACAGTAGGTATCATAGTACATACTAGCCAGAAAGTCACAGAAGGCGAAAACACAGTGTACAACGAAATTTCAATTCCAATTCGATCGCACAGTTACGCCAGCTCCCCCACTTTGCCAACCCCTCCGAAAACAAAGAGATCAAACAGCCAGGAAAACATCGGCGAACCTCCCATCTCCCATCTCCCATCTCCCGAGGTCGTGTGCTTCAGCCGTGAGGCCTACTTCGTCTCACCCATGTCGCACTTGTCGCACTTGTCGCCCTTGTCGCCCTCGTCGCCCTCGTCGCTTTGGGTCGTCACCATTGTCAGCATAGTCTTAGCAGTTAGATGTGGATGGTGACGTACGCAAGGCAGGTAGCCTCCACAGCCGCAGCCCTCGCCGCAGGCGCACTTCTTGGGGCCGCCGGAGCCGCACATGCAGACGCGGTTGACGAGCTCGGTGGGGTTTGAAATCATCTTGATGTTGGTTGGTGGTGTTAGAGACGTGGGGTTGATTTGTTGGGGAGGTGATATGGAGGTATCGTATGGATGGATCGTATCGAAACGGAGGACTTGTTGATTCGATTAATGATGATTTGGTGTGTGAGGTGAAGAAGGAAAGTTTAGATCTTGCGAGTTGAGAGGTATTTTTATAACTAATTCGAGCGGCGAAATACGAACATAGAAAGCTAGGTCGTCCAGCGGATAATAGAAGGGTCCACCAAATCCGCTAGCAAAACCAATGTGGGTCGAGGCGGACATGTTGAAAACGAGTGATGTGAAAAGCATTCACGTGTACTTGAACATAATTTCCCCAGCGGAACCTGTATCTGTAGGTGAATCCTCTCCCGTTAGGTCTCCAGCATCGTATCTACATCCTCTTCACCTCCAGGTGCTCGTACACGACCTCTGCACCTAAGCGAGACGCTACATGTAGTCCGTCAGTTTGCCGGACGGGGTTAGACTGTAGTCCAGCATGAGCTTTTCAGCACTTACACCACCAATTGAGCTTCGTCCAGTCCCAGCCGCTCCACTATCTTTTTTCAGTACCGGCAATGGCGGCGTGATCTTCATGTTTCATCCAGTGCACTCAGGTACTATATTCATACTTCACTTACCTCCCTCAACCACTACATGCAACCACTGATAAAATGCGCAGAAGTATCTCTCTTGTACTCTCACACAAATATCGCATTATTACCGTTTTTCGCTGTACTTTTACCAGTGTCGATTGCAGTCCGTCTCATCCGCGCTTCTGGTGGACTATGTCTGTAGTCTGTCCACCACACATCTCCGGACGGACTGTATGTAGATAGTCCAGTCCCGTCCATGGGTCCGGACTTAGGGCCGGACTATGCATTTAGAACACTAGGTGATGTCTACGCGGACACGGGCGATACACCGGGGTCGTTACAGAAAAATACGTGGCAAGTCACCGAATGCGAACACAGTATATAACGAAACCGCAATTCCAATTCGATCGCACAGTTACACCAGCTCCCCCATGCCTATACCCCTCCGAAAACAAAGAGACCAAATAGCCAGGAAAACTTCAGCGAACCCCCCATCTCCCATCTCCCCAGGTCGTGTGCTTCAGCCGTGAGGCCTACTTCGTCTCGCCCATGTCACCCTTGTCGCCCTTGTCGCCCTGGGTAGTCACCACTGTCAGCATGGTCCTATGTAGTAGTCGGTTATGGGTGGGTGGTGACGTACGCAAGGCAGGCAGCTTCCGCAGCCGCAGCCCTCGCCGCAGGCGCACTTCTTGGGGCCGCCGCAGCCGCACATGCAGACACGATTGGCGAGCTCGGAGGGGTTCGAAATCATCTTGATGTTGGTTGGTGTTGTTTGAGACGTAAGGTTGATTTGTTGGGGGTGTGGTGTGGTTGTTTAGAAACGGAGGACTTATTGTTTCGTGTGAGTGATGCTTTCGTGGGTAGGTGAGGTGAAGAAGAAGAGGTAAGAGTTGGAAGTTGGGGGGATTATCACGGTTTCAGGCGGCGAAAAGAGAACATAGAAAGTCTAGGGCGCCAGCAGATAAACTAGCGAAATCAATATGGGTCGAGGCAGATTGGGTATCATCGAGTGATATAAAAAGCATTCGAGCGTACTCGAACCCACCTGTATCAGTGGGTAAATTCCTGCTGGCTACCTAGATCTCCGGCATAGCTTCAGTATTCTCATAGCTTGTAGGCGCTCGTTCATAACCTCTGAAGCAGCAAGATGACTCGTTTTCTCTCGTATCACCGAGGGCTTTAAAAGTACCAGGTGGAGACGATAATAGATGGTACCTACGAGGATAGCAACAACCAAGTCAGGACATCGAGGGATACCGCTGTGTAGAACTTCTACGGTTTTACTCCGCGTGCTCATGCACTGCCATAAACTTTGCAACCTCCCGGACGTGTAGCGGAAAGCCACCAGGACATTAGGATTTCTAGGTATTCTCTAGTGTTAGCTCTGGCTTCCTCCCTTACACAGTAAAAAGCCATGAATGAGCGGCCGCAGCTCCCACAATGAGATGGAATTCATACAACCTCTGCAGAAATAACCTGCGAGACAATTGATCGGTTATGATCTGTTGTATGCGCCACAAAGCCACACGAAGCCACAGCGCCACCGTTAGGCGCCGAAAGCCACTTTCCGCCAAGGAACGCTATCATGAGCCACACGAAGCCACAGAAGGCCACGATGCCTCACCAAGCGGCACTCGCTGCAATGACGTAAAGGTTTGATGTCTTGGCTCCCAGCTGTCGCGTGTTCGGAGCTCGCGTTTGACGGTTGTCACGGAAGCACGACTTGCAGCATCACCACACTCTCTCTAAACCTTTGACTACGGGCTTATCGACGGCGATTACGGACAGTCCTACGATGGCAAAAGGCAAAAGGCACGCGAGATGAAACACAAATTTATCCATGAGAATCCAAATTGCGTGTGAATGAAGAGCAGCAGCGGTGGGTGGCCGTTCAGTTTCAATCGTCTCACTTCATCGCGTGAAGATCGGCGACATGCGGAGGTTTGCTAATGGTGATAGTCATGATAGATATCGGATAGGGCTCCGGCGAGGCGAAGCGAGCGAGTCGGTCGGCCGGCCGGGCGGCTGCGACGGGTCCCCCCACAAACAAACAAACGAATCGATCATGACCGTGCGCGAGCGCGATCTTGCAGATTCGTCAGGAGATGGATGTTTGGCGCGACCGGTTATCGACATTCCTGCACCAAGAGCACGGACGGGATCACGACTAACGGGCTGCCCCACGTCCTGCGGCCTGCGGGGACTGGCGAGGACTGGCGAGGATGAGGTGGTTGTCTGGGGATTCACGGATGGTGGGGGTTGATGAGGCGTTTGGAGGAGTACTTATGTCAATGGAGCGTGGTGGTGTATCTCTACGGCCGAATAAAGAGCATTACAAAGTGAGTTGAGATCGAGAGCATACGGAGTCGATGGGAAGAAGTGGTTTCGTTGGATAACGCGGCGAAATATAATCGCCGTCGCCATCGTGGCCCCGAAGCGTTGCGCGTTCGATGCGATGGATCCGTTTGCAAGCTCCCACGTGGGTTGAAGGGTTCAACGGTGCTCAGGGGAAGGAAACACGCGCGTTCCCGCACGGTGCTGCCGGATTGAAACGCGACCGGCTTGTTTGTGGGTGATGTTATCGAGCGGCCGGATCGCGATGGTTTAAGCGGGACGTGCTGAGGCTGTGCGTAAACAGCGGGTGGGGGCCGTTGGTGGGGGCGGTGCGGAGCGATGCGCTGAAACAGTGGCGGGCGGGAGCACTTGCTTGTTTCCCTTGTTCGCCAGTCCGTCGTCGCGTGTTTCCGGTCCAGAGTGGGTCGCATACCCGGCAGATTCGACGTCCCTTGCGCGCCCTGTTCTGTTCCGTGGCTGGGCCGTGATGTCCTCAGAGATGGAGATGCGCCCTCGGTCTGCGCCTTGCACCGCTTCTTCTTTGCTTCCTCGAGCTCCGGCCAATCCGACTGAGTGCAATGGCATTCTGCAGCGCAGAGTAGCGCAGACATCCGCTGCGACGAGTGTTCTTCGTCATCATCTTCTGCTTCACCTTCTTCTTCTTCTGCCCATGTCGTGTCGCTCTTTGCCACTCTCTCGCACCGTGCGCATTCTTCTTCTGCGTTGTCCGAACTGCATGCACGCGGGTTTTGCATAAGTAGTAGTTATACCTAACTCACCGTGCGTGCTCGACTCGCCCACTGTCACCATCGCTAGTTCCCGTGCATCGCCGTCGCTGAATTGCGCCTCTCTCCCATTCATTGATTCCCGTCCGTGTCCGAGCTGTGTTGCGCAGTGAGAGGCGGATGCTCGTTCGTCGTTCGAATAACAGCAAAAAAGTAAATAACTTCTTCCATACGATGCGCCTTCATGACTTATCCGTCGGCTATCCCTTTCGCTGCTAGTTGTTGTCGTTATAAAGCCAGGTGTGCGGCCGCGGCTTTATGCAGTAGCCAACTCTGTAAGCCTATCCGAACCCCATCATCCCCATCCATCGTCCACCACTCAAAGCGATCCCAATCCGCGAACTCCACATCCACCGCTACAACCACCAACCACCAACCACAACCACCAACCTCCACCACCACTCCCCACCCTCAACGCTCCCCTCCGTGATGGCGATATAGTCAGCACCGACTTCCTCCCCCGACTTGCGCCCTCCCGCTACTTCAAACTACACCCGCTCCCAAATACCTAGCCGCTGCCTCCGCCCCTCCCCCTTACATTCTACATTCCTCTCGCAATCCGCACGTCCCCTTCCCCCACCCCAACAGCTCTCCCCTACGAATGGCGACTACAGACCCCCCGAACGCAAGCGCTTTCTTTCACGGAACGGCAGAAGAAGCCATAGCCACGTCGCTCCGTCGATGCTTCCCCCTCGTCTGCCTCGTCACGGACGGCGGCGAGGAGAGCACTCGCTGGGAATCGGAGTACCTGGTCGACGATGAGGTACTTGCTTCCTCGCTCGCTTCACGACGCCTCGCTTCCTGCGCTTCGCTAAAGCGCTGAGCGTTTACCTTTTACTGACACTTCCTCGGCTTCGTTTGGTGGTAGATCTTTGAACTCCTGCGAGCCGAGGTCATCCTCCTCCGACTCGAAGCCGGAACTCGCGACGCCAAACTCCTCGCCGAGGCCTCCGGTATCGCCGAAACGCCAAACCTGTTGATAATCAAGTATGCACGCACTCCTCCACGAGCAGCCTTCGCTCGCGACGACTCAATTGCTGATGTGTGGTAGAGACGGTACGACCATCGTCACACTGCTCGCCGGAGTCTCGCGAGAACATTTCATTCATAACATCAAGAACGCGCTCATCAGGATTGCGGAGAGGCGCCCCTCTCTGTACCCCGCACCCGCACCCGCACCCGTACAACCTATTGCCAACGTGCAACAGCAACAACTACCTTACCCGCAGTCGCCTCCTCCTGCCGTCAATTACAACGCGACTCCTACAAACATCGCAAACTCAATTGACCGCCCAGAGTCTCCGCGAGGAACCCCCGCGTCCTATCCGAGCAGCCCCACAGCTCCTCCTACCACCACAAACACCGTCGCTACCAACGATGCTGCGGCCGCAAGTGCTGCCGCCGAAGCCATGTCCTCCGGCCGTCGCGGCAGCGTTCGCCCAAGTTTCGGTGAGCAGCAACGACTCAAGAAGGTAGCCGAGCAAGCCGAGAGACAGCGCATCTTGCAGCTGCTCGAGTACGACAAAGCCGAGCGCCGACTCCGTGACAAGGAGCGACGAGAGAGTGTCGTGATCACGGAACAGCTCCGGCCACGATTCCCAGAAGTGGTGGTCGCCACTGGGAGCAGCGGCGATAGCGGCAAGGGCGACGTGGCTTTATCGTTCCGTCTCACGGACGGCTCGAACGTTAAATTTCGTTTCCCCCCGGAGGCTACGTTGGGCGTGGACGTAAGGGCATGGATAGAGAAGGTATTCGCTCTCGGACGACCCCATCGATACCACCGCTGACGGAGGATCTACAGAACCGTTCTGACGGCGACCGTCCTTACAACTTCATGGAGATCCTCGGCCCCGCGCGCAACCGGCCACTGACCATCTCGGACGAGAGTGAAACCCTGTCACACCTGTTCAAGCGGTCGGCCACGCTCGTGCTCGTGCCCACACAGTCGGCTATCGCGGAGGCATACAATAACTCGTCGATGGCGAAGAGCGGCTACGGTGTTCATGGTGTCCTTTCGAACGCATATGCTATGATCTCCGGGGCTGTGAATGCGGTATGGAGCTTGGCACCGTTCGCCTCCAGGACGGTCGAGCAGCCACCGCCGCCACCGCCGCGGCGTGAGGGAAGACGCGTGGGCACAGCGGAGAGCAATGTCAGGACGCTGGGAAGTCAAAACGAAGATTCCGAGAGGCGGTACTACAATGGAAATCAAGTGAGTCAACCCCCTCTTCCACCGCACCACTGACTGACTGACTAATCGACTGACTCCTCCGCCACAGTCGAGCCTCGAGCCAAAACCGGACGACAAATGAGTCGTCCCCACCTTCTTTTCCTTTCCTTTCCTTTCGTATTCATTTTCTTGTCTTGCGGGATTTGGGGTCTGGGGGGCGTTTCATCTATCTAAACTTCGCTTCTGTCGTACCGGTACTACTACTGCTGCTGTTGCTGCCTGCTGCCTGTCTGTCCTTACCTGAACGATGTTTTCTCTGCACATTATTATCGACACACTAAATGGTCCCCGTCTTTTTTTCCGTCCGATTCTGTGTATTCTGTGTACTCTGCACTGTACTCTTTTCCTTTCTTTTTTGTTTGTTCGAAAGAATGAAGGGACGAGGAGGAGGAGGACGAGAAGGAGAAGAAGGAGGGGGGTTTGTAAGTATCATGCGTGCAAGCAAGCTTGCTTCCAATGCACACGCGCAAAGATGTTTGATATGTTTGATATTGAAGATTCGATGCTTCATAGTCAGTGGCCTCACCTGACCCGTGCGCGGATGGATGGATGGATGGATGGATGGATGAATGCATGGATGGATGGATGTGTGCGTCATGGCGGGAGTAAAGCAAGGGAACCATGAAGGGAACGGTGGTGGTGGTGATCGGCGGACAAGGACGAGGACGAGGCGGCACGGCTCGCTGACTGCACTGCACTGATATCATGCCATCTCCTGTCCTGGCTGACACCGCACCTGCCCGGCTTGCATGGGGCTTCCCGGACCGTCGGTGAGGAAACATGACCAGATGAGCGACAGGATCGCCGTGATCGGAGGATGCGATGCGTCATTGATTGTGTTCCTTGATGGTTTGTTTGGTTCTTGGAAAGATATTTGGCGTTGTTTATTGGAAGTGGTAGAATGGCCTCACCGAACCGGCGAGCTGACGAGTTCCTGAGAGTTGTTTGTGTGGCTGCCCTGCATCTAACTGACCTGCGCGTGGCGGCACAGCGCTGTACCACTGTCTGCTTCGCCATTCTGTTTCAGGCTTCGATTCCTGGACTCCCGTTCACGATAACACTCAAAATGATCGATCTGGTCTGTACAATCAATACCGAGTTTATTCATTCAGAGTCAGACCGAGGAAATAACGACCTTGCGAGCACCAGCCACCACCTGCCGCCGCTTCACAAGCCACATCGTGGCTCTATCGTGGCTGAGACATTTCGGTCTCGTATTCGTTTCCGGTTCTGTTTCCGCTTCACTGTTCGCCGCAATTTCAGTACATCCAGTCCAATCCTGTTCACTCAAGCTTGAAGCCCACGGGAATGGCATGAAGGATTCGCTACATCGGCTTTGCGTCCCTTGTTTGAAGTTTCTCGCTTATCCTCCCGCTCTCCCTTCCGCTCTCCCTCCCTCGCCGCTCGCCGCTCACAGATCGGAGAGCGGAGAGCGGATGTGCAAATACTCGGGATTGAGGAATACTGGTGCTCTAACCAGCAACGTTGATACCGGTGCATGGGATCGTTGGATCGGTTATCGACCACAACAATTCATCACCTATCACCCAGCACCCATCGATAGGCATTTCGAGCCTTGAGATTTCGGTCATATATTTCTGTGGCTTTTTCGTTTAATCGTTGATTATAGTACTTGCGACCTATACAGACTGTGGCGGTATTCGCCCACCGGTTCCCGTCCACTGTCCAATTCGACCTCGATCAGTCCGCTGAGGCTGGTGGCTCCCCCACCAGGGCAAGTCGTCAGGACATGCCATAATCCCCCCGTTCCCCAACTTCGACACCCCGTCCTGCCCGTGACGCTCTCCGCCGCTCTTTCATACTGCTTCCTCGGCGCTCGTTCCAACCCCTCGCTAGCTACGTCTTTCACGGCTACGTCTTCATCGGCCCGAAGAAAACCGGCGAGTGATAACTCAACAACAATGTTGATATTATGCGTCTTATTGCCTGTTCCGGTGTCACTGCTACTTGCCACTGTCCTTTTGCATACTGCGCTCATTTTCTTCGTAGTTGCTTAGCATTGTCCATAGCTTCTCATCACCGTCAGCCTCTTTAAGCCTTCAAGCTTCCAACCCAGACTCCAGTCCGGCGACGGCAATCGCCGCATCCTCTGCCTGAGGCCCGGCTTCCTCGTTGCCTACAAGAGCTCTTTTCCTTTATAAGCAGTGTTCTTTCTCATCTTTCTCGTATCAAGACGTCAATCAAGACAAGCTCTTCTCTCAATTCCAACAAACCTTCAGCATCGAATGCCGAGTGATAGTCTAAGACTATCATTCGGCGGACCGTCCCAGTCGTTCAGAACCGAATCGTCTGCCCTCTTGGAACAGAGGTATGCATATATACACACGGAGAGACCCACGAGCTACACAACATGTTGAATTGCGTGTAGCATCGCTATTAAGAATACAAGCAAATCGCCATGTCCACCTCTACCATTTCCTAAGCAATAACAGTTAAACCAGCACTCACGAGTCTCAATGATCCACAGAACTGAGTTCATCGTGACGAGAAGCGATACCTAATTTCATAAAACTACATCCGCTCCCCAATTCCGCGCATCAACTGTACGATCCACTTCGCTCAAAACGATCCACATTGCTTTCAATCCACTTCGCATTAAGCCCGTCCAGGAAAAAGATACTTGGCAGAATCCATCCAGTATAGCAGTACAGCAGGCAGACCCCCAACCTTTTTCCAGAGGGGGAAACAAACATCCCATCAAATCAAGCGCGTATTTTTTTTCGTTTTTCTTTCTTCTTCCGATCCCATTACCCACGAGCAAACAAGCGCAACCCACCCTGGCGCCTTCCAATCCCATTCACCCACGAGCAAGCAAGCAACGCTGCAACCGCACTTGTTCTTTTCCTCAGCCCACTCACGACCAAGCAAGCCATGATCTCACGCCTCAATCCAGGCCATCATCATCCACAACCGCGGCCGCCTCTCCTCTACGACCAACTCGTCCAGCTTTCCTCGTCCAAGTCCTTCTGGGGGCCTGGACCTCGCGGCTTGCCACACCCCCACAAACTCCTCACTCCGGGGAACGCCCAACCCGCCCACTTGGTTCGCGCCCAACACAGCCGCCGGCACCCATCCAAAACTCAGCAAGCAAACCAGCCAACGTTCACCCACCCCAACCCAACCCCACCCCCAAACCCACCCCACCACGTCGACCCCATGTGAGCAGCAGTACTGCACGGAGCCTACTGCCGCCCATAAGACCGGCCATTCCCATTCCCCCCAGTCGTTCCCCCAATCCATCCCATTATTATCCCTGTATCCTGCACATCATCAATCCACGGGCCGATATCATCCAGATCCAGATGCGGCACGTCCGCGTTATCATTCTCGTCGGGCACAGGGCCGAGCGAGACGGGCGATGGCGAGATCGGCGTGGTGGGGGGCGGGCCGGGGGACTGGATCGGACGGTTGGGGCGGCTGGTGAGAGATGAGGGCCGCTGGGGGATGGGGAGGTACGGCAGCCGCGATGTTGCGGCGGCGGCGGCGGTGGCGGTGGTAGGGGCGGCCGGGGGTGAGGCTGGGAGTGAGGCTGGGGGTGAGGCTGGGGGTGAGGCTGGGGGTGAGGCTGGGGCTGCTTCCGGGGCGGGTGCGGATGGGGTGCGGGTCCGGATGCAGATTCCCGAGGCCAGTCCGAGGTGGAGGGGCGCCGGAAGGGGGTGATCATTACTGTTGATGTTGTGCTGCTGTTGCTGGTAGTGGTAGTGGTGGAGGAGGAGGACTGCGGAGGACAGGACAGTCAGTTCACGGCTGGAATATTGGGGAGTGCTGGGGACTTACGAGCGGTAATTGAGTGGTAAGATGAAGAGGTGGAGTGAAGATTGCTTTGGAGCAGAGGTTACGGTGGTGGAGCAGAGAGTCGAGCCGTAGGAGGACTGGGGAGAGCAGGGAGTCAGTTAGCAGCTTGGATACTGGAGATTACTGGAGAGTACTGGGGACTTGCTCGTGCGGTGAATGAGTGGTCAGATGAAGAGATTGAGTGTATATATTGCCGTGGAGCAGAAACTACAGTGGTGAGGAAGAGTCGAGGTGGACGAGGAGGGAACTCGATAGTGCTTTGACAAAGGCCGGTGGTGGGTACGGATCACGGTGTGATGGAGGGTGTGTACGGCTTTGTGGAAGCGGGTGTCGGTGTTCGGAGATGTAGAGATGTAGTGATGTAGAGATATAGCTGGTAGTAATGGAAGTGATGGAAGTTCGAGTAGATTGACGGATTGGAAGAGGGAGAGGGACAGTGGTGGGGATAGGAATCGACGGGCAGAAGGAGGGTTGGGGACGATTTTGGTGCAGTCGTAGGTCACAGATGAAAGCCGTCGCTGTAGCTGTTCGTAACGGGCGTGCTGCAGCGGAGAACCACGGATGTAGCGGACGACTGCAATGCACTCGGGGCAATCTCAAACATGGCTCTCAATTTCATCCAGTAGGCTATGGAAAAAATCGCCTCTTAAGCATTCACAGATAAATTAGGTCCCATATGACAAGTAGTACATCTTTTCCACCACATCAACCGCATCAACTCATATCAAAAGTCCTCCTTCACGCAACTGCCCCCGCCATCCCCATCGTCGTCTCCGGCAGGAACGCACCGCCTCCTAAATCTTCGCGTCTGGCGGAGGCCCCACCGGGCGGTCGAGGGCGCGGAACGGGCGGCCGGTGGCTTTGCAGAAGACCCAAGTTGCGGAAAGCCTGAGGCCATACGCCAAAGTGAGGAAGATCAACGATCCGAGAGGCGCGACCAGGAAAACACCTATTTCCACCATGTCAGCTCAGTTCAGTTCAATTCCCGCCTCATTCCCGCCTCATTCAGGGGAGTACGAACCGAAAGCGCTCCAGTCATCCCCATACAGTCCCTTCTTCAGGATCATCAGCTCCGCACCCTGGTGCGCATCTCCGTAATAGATCGAGCCGAAGATGAACACGCTAAGCATTCCGCCCAGGCCGCCGCAGATGACGTCGAAGCCGTTGAGGAAGTAGAATCGCTCGCTGAGCCCGAGAAGGATCGACGGGAGGGTGGCGGTCGCGACGATGTTGGAGATCAGGAAGATCTGCAGGATGCTGGGCTTCTTGACGGCGATTATGATGACCGGGATCGTGATCAGTGCCACAAGGACACGGATGTAGATGAAGGGTAGCTTGCTGCGGAAAACATCGTTGGATATCGTCGAGACCATGGCGGATTGGAGGGAGTCGAAGACTGCAGGGGTCAGCAAGAGCATGGAATGATTGGAACGTGGGCGTACCGGCACGCTGAGCGCTACGACCATGACCACGACGAAGCCTACAACCCACGCAGGCAACTTCCCCAGCAGTAAGAAGAACGCCAGTCCTCCGTACACATCCGGGGTCCAGACACCCGCCCAGGCGGCGATGAATCCGGTCGAGCTGACGAGGAGCAGGATGATGAAGACCGCAAGCGAAGCGAGGCCGCAGCCGATCCACAGGTCCTTATCCGTCTTGGAGGCGAAGGCGCGCATCCAAAAGTTCGACAGGAACATGTCGCTGAAGACGATTCCAATCAGGAGGATGAAGATCAGCTGGTAGCCGAGTTTGCTCTGCTCGAGCAGGCCGGAAGGGGCGATCAAGGCGGTGTCGATGGTCACCGAGGTGCCGACGGCAATCGCGCAAATGATGATCAGGAGACCGATCATGGCTCCTTGGATGTTGTCTGTGATAAAGGAGACCTTGAACCCTCCCAGAGCTGCGTGCGATGTCAGCACCCGCTACATGCGATTGTGAATGGTATTCATACCGGTATAAATGGTGGTCACAACCACCTCCACAATGATCACTGGAAGTCCCTTGAGCCCAGTCAATGTCTCGATGACCTGTCCCAGGGCGGACAATTCGGCAACCATGTACAAGAACATCGTCGCGACACTATACAAATCAGCCCGTCTTCCGGAGATCTTATCGCCAAACCCGACCAGCGGCCAAGGTCGGCCGTCTAGAATAGCGACCCTCGGCCCGCCATCAACCAACACCTCGGAACACTCACGTCAAGAAGCTGAGATACAAGCTTGCAACCACGCCGAACCGTTCACGGACCCACATGGTCAAGATGAAGCCCTCGGGCAGCTTCCTTCTGATGATGGGCGCCAGGACGGGGAAGATCATCAACGGCAGCGCCGAGCAAGCCGCATAAGTGATGGAGCCCTGGACACCGGCAATAGTCGCGATCTCGGGGTACGAGAAAAGGATCGAGGAACCCATGGCTATCATTCGCGTCAATACACCGGCTCACAGCCACGAGGAAGATTCACGGGGGGAAGGGAGGAGGGGCGCAAAGCGGCAACACGTTTCCCACGCAAGTCTTAACTTGTTCGGGTGGACGGTACAATCTCAGCCTGAGGGTTTCCAAAGATGTAGCCTGGCCTTCTCTCACGAGATGGCCGAGGAGCAGTCTGCTTCATCCCCCAAGCGCCCGTAGTGAAACCACAGCCGCCCCTCCGAAAACCGTGTTCGGGAGAGACAGCATCAAAAGTTTAATACGAACCTCGTCACAGACTTGACTCATGGGTGCACTGTGTATACGGTAGGGTGTGCCGTACGTGTTGCCGCTATCGTGTAGCATATTGATAGCACTCACCGGAAGCGACGAAGTTGAGTGCCAAAGGGACCGCTGCGAATGACTCCAGTCAGCAATGCAATCCTACTTTCGCAGAAAGGAAAGTGCAGTAGCAGCAGGATTCAAACCAGTTTGTGTGCGGTTGGAGTGCAGGAACTCGGATTTCGACTGCCCGCGATACCGCCAGGCGATGTAACAGCCCATCACACTGCGAAGACGCCAGTTAGCAACGCGCCCCGGCTTCGCTGGACGGACGTGACAGGATGGTAGGAAGTACTCACAGGAAGACCGCATACGTGACATACACGAGCGCACCCGCAGCGGATCGGAAAGGGAGCCCATCTTTGCGTTTGGGTGCGAGGAGGCAGTCGAAGTCGGTCTTCGAGCAGAGCGGAGGGGGTACTGCAGGAAGAAGAGGTTCGAGCGAAGGTTATAACACGTATGGGTTCCAGCGAAAGCTGGAGGAGAGAAGGTTCTTCTTATCGGCCGGCGAGTGGGGACGCTACGCGCGTGCGAGGGGTCCGGGTTTTGCTTTTACTTCGTACGTCTAGATTCCCGAAGACGCATGGAACCGACAGGACCCGGTAGTCTTTCGATCGGGACAGGGAAGAAGCCTGTTATATAGGAACCACTAGAGGACCACGCG